TCTGGGAATCATTTATGAGTCCATGCAATTCAAGCTAATTTCCCAGACTATGTTTAGAACTTCCATGTGTTTTGGTACTTTTCTAGTAATAATGCACATTAATGCACTTATGGACTTCAGTTTGGCTGGGGTTGACCCCTACTCTAGCATGTTAGTTAATTCCCTTCTGATGGTACAGGGTTTCATCAACTCGGCTGAGAAAATGTACGCATACACACACTGTTTGGGTTCACCCAACAAAACCTACATTAAAGGCTGTTATTAAACCATGGGTTGTTGTTGAAATGTGGACTGTTGTGGAACCAGCTGTACTATCAAATGTGGTTCAGTAACCAAGAACAACCAAAAAAAAAAAAAAAAAAGAATACATGGTTTGTTCTTGGATTCTGAAATGTAGGTTTTCATGGTTAACAAACCAAGGTTTCTTAACATAGCTGGGTCCTTACAACACAACCACCCCAGCCTAGTCTCAACCCACACTCAACATTGAGTGTGGATTGCCACGCTGTGTGCACCCAGTTGCTTTCTCTGTCCTGGCTGCAGAGCGCAGAATGGCTTCCTCTAGTGTTTCCTTAGGCAAAACAGAACATTTACTTAAAGGCAGGAATGTGGGTACAACGCTTATCTTTCTAACAGATGGAGTCTTCTACTTCAGCACTGCAGCTTCCCCCAACACCCAATTTTCATGCACTCCCCAGTTGTTCTTCTACAGTAATATACCAGCCCAGGTGCCTTAAAAGTCCTGAATACACAACTACAAACTGGATGGACCCCAGAATAAGAATCATATGGGTCCCCCCCTCCAAATATTAGCCAACCCTGCAGCAGCAAGCAAATAGCTTTCCAGATACCCTACTGAACTCACTGCCTCTGTGGCTACCTGACCCAGCTTCTGAAAGAATGAAAGATGGAAAAGATAATTCCTCCTTTGGAGAAGGAGATTCAAAAAAAAAAACAAACCCATGAGAAAGAGCTGGAAAAGTGTGAAGCATGTCTGATCAGCTCCTAGGCTGATTTTAGCACCTGTGAATATTTTGCATTACTTATTTTAGCAAGTAGATTTGCCAATTGTATGAGTGTTCACCATCACATAAAGAAGTACCACACCCCTGCCTTGTGTCCTGGCCTGAAAAAGTTGTAGGCACGGCATTGCTATGAGCATGGCTCTTCAATCTTACTTCAGGCGCATGACAGGCACCACTGGCAGGCCTTTTTTTGGCTGCTCCAGTGTGTACCTCACTGAACCTCAGATAGGGGTTTAAATCCCTCTGTACTGGGCCATCATCTCATGATATAAGAGCATGCAGTATTTAATATTCTGTCTGGGGAGTGAGTTGCCCAGCATGAAAGAGGGAACTAAAAATCTTGATGCAAATTATGGATCATTCTCTGTTGTAAGAGTGAGTTAGAAAACAAAGTCAGGTATTTTTCATTATTTCAGATACAGAAATTTCAGAAATTCTGGTTAATCACATGTCCAGATTTTGTATTCCCACATCTAGTTCCTACTTAAAATGCAATGGTCAGTAGAACGTTACTAGGCAAAAAGAACTGAACTGTAAGTTCTAGTTTGAAAGAACTAAAAGTATTTGCATTTGTAACTAAGTCTGTTCTCTCCATGTCTCATTAATGGTAATCTCTTCACCCTGCCTGAAAAATTATCTACAACGACAAAGTCTGCAAACCCTCGTATCAGCAGAAATATGCAAAGAATGCCACGTGTACCTGTCATTCTTTGGGGAAAATGTGGCAGCATGACACCATGAACACCATCTGACTGGGACAAAATTCTGTAGAGATGAAACTACTTGAGCTTCCTCCACTATAGTCAAGCCTGGAATCGCTTCATTTTCCTGCCCTGATTTTAGGAAGCATGGCTGTCTAGTAAAGGATACTGGTCCTGCCCCCACCACACCCTGTACGAGAAGAGCAGTGGTCTCTTGCAGTTTGTGATAGCAAAGGGTGGTGGTCTTTCTCACCTGTGTGCCTTGCTGCAGGCACCCTGCTTTGCCTGTAAGAGGCACATCCCGCCAAAGCATGCCTTATTTAGAACCAGCCTACAAAGAAACCCTAAAACTGACCATATATGGTGAGTCTGTTGTGGTCCAGACTCCAGCAGCAGGGTGGGGAGTGCTGGCCAGGACAGTAGCTGAAGAATGCAGCTTGGGAGGGGGAGGGGGAGGGGCTGGCTTTCTGCTGGAGCCAATGCTCGGGGTGAGTCCTGGGGGAGCAGGGTGCAAGGAGAGAAAGCTAGGCAACCTGCTCAGTGGTGTTCCCGGATCCATCAGCACTGATCCAAGGCATTTTACAAAGTGAGACGCTGCCTTATACTGAGCCGACCATTCCAAGGAGCTCTCCAAAACAGCCCTACCCAAAGATGCTGGGCATTGAGTCTAAAACTTTTTGCCAGCAAAGTGCCTCTTGCCTTACCCTGCCCTCAAAGGTGTCCAGCAGGGGTGGACAGCTTGTAGCCCTCCAGATGTTTTGGTTTGTAATGCCCACCAGCCCTAGCTAGTGTGGAGGATCATGGGAGTTGTAAGCCAAAATATCTGGATGCCTAACTGGGTAGGGTATCCACCCAGTTAGGCATAGGGTATCCACAGGCCAGCCAGGAGCAGTAAGTACAGGCAGCAGGTGGTGAAATCCTAAACTAGACAGTCTGCCAGGGTATCCAGCTGCTCTCCACACCAGGAACAGAGATGCAGGGCTAACATCCCCTGGCACATCACTGCCTCAGGGATGGGGAGGTGGGGTATCCCAATGGGTCCTCCTTCACACTGCAGCATGGGGCCCGATTCAGCAGGAAATTCTTCTACCTGAGCATTCTTGAACAGAAACTGCACAGGAGGAGGACTATATTCACTTTTGTGGTGTTTGTACAGGAGAACGTCCTGATGGATGGTGCAGAAATTATGGGGACAAGCTTGGGGTGAGGAGGCTACACAAAATCCACAAGTCCTACCTCCTGCCAAGGGGGTATACCCCATGGAGAACCTCCTAAAAAGAGGAGCCAAGGGGCCACAACGATCAGTAAAGTGGCTGGAGCCCTCTGTCACCCACTGTAATTCAGGCACTGACCCTACGTGGTCCATCCCCCTTTCTGTCACCCCACTTGGGCAGCACCTGCACCTGCAAAGGGTCACTGATGGCATGCAGAAGTCCTGCTGCAACATGCCCCCCACCCTTCCTCCACATTGCTGACCCATCTCAAGTGCTCAAAGTCCACCTGCTGGCTATCTCAAGGTATGCCCCATTTTCCCTGGCTGAACCCGCTGGGCCTGCCCTCCAAGGCAAGAGAGGCATAATGCATAGGGCAACACTGCAGAAAAGAATCTTCCCCCACAATATTAAGTCTGACAGTGGTCTGATTCAGGCCTAAGAAAAAATGTTGTGAAGCCAGGGGCCCAAAGATGCATTAAGAGCATGGACTGGGTACCATAAGTCAAAGCTACATAAGCTCCACCCAGTGCAGTGGCAATGACAGGCCCCTGGAAGGACGGCTTTGCTCAGCCTCTCCCCAACCGGTGCCCTACAGGCGGACTGGATTGCAGCTCCATGGCTGGGGGAGTGCTTTGCCAGGGAACTGGGAGAAGCAGTTGGTCCACTGGGTGCACATTTTTGGACATGAACTTGGGCAGCAATCTTATAACCACTTGCATGGGAGCAGGCCTCACTGAATTCAGTGGGACTTCTGAGTGGGTGGGTACAGAATTTTGTGCCTAAGGTGCTTCCAGATGAGGCTTTTATTGCATTATTGCCCAGCTTCATTAATAGAATTTTACAGGGCTTCAAGCGGTTGTTGTCCTCACTGTGTTCATCTACCACTTCTTCCCCAAGGGGGTGGGGAAATTTGCTATGGAAAAAAAAACAGAAATAACTAAAAATGCCTTTGATTGACTATAGAATGCTAAAGTGCTCTCTTTCTAGTAACTCCCTTACTGTGATTGTGAAAACCCTACACTGGCTGAATGTCACGTTACAAAAGCTGCTTCTGTGTGAACAACAATCAGGCTGTAACATAAAAAGCATATAAGGAACTAAAAACTCATGTGTTAAATTCTCTTTGCAAGTGCCTGTCTCAGAAGTGGTTCCATATCTGTAAAATGGGTATAATAATGATCTTTCACACAAGGATAAAACATGATGTTGCAAGATTGTTAAGCATACTGATCTTGCTTGTCACAATCTTCTTTTTGGTTCCAGTCCATCTATTCTTTGAGATGATGGTGTAATATGTCAGCTAAGAAGTGAGCAGGGCACTATCTAGTTATCCCACTTCTACCACAAACACAGTAGGTAACCATAGGCAACCAGTCATTATCCCAGCCCCAACTGCAATACATGGATATTAGCTCAGTAAACATGGCTGTACAAATGATTGGCAAGGCTGGGGGAGTCCACGTGAAGCACTTTGAACACCTTGACATGTGCTCTTGGAAAACAACACACCACTTTTCCTTGATGCTTGGATTCCTCCAACAGGCAACCAGACTGTGTTGCACTGTGTTGGCAATCAATCCCACCTAATTTAGACATATGGGATTGTTCCAGAAGTTTTTATTTGCAGTTGCTTAGTTGCCATGATTATCTCTTATATTTGCCTGCCACTGTATGAGAGATTTTTAATCACTTATACTGCTCACTACTGCATGTGGCAGGTAGGGAACTAAGCCTCATCAATCAAAAAGCTCTAGAACAAATACAATGCAGGTGTTGCCAAAATGAAAGTGACCAGGTGTCAATTTTTCTGTGTCCATTTCCCAATATACTGAAAAATCCTTCTCATTGCAGGAAGGAAAGTGGAACTTCTTTCCTCCTGATTCTTTCCGCTAGTCAGTAGCTGCTCCGCAGCCTAAGGATCTGTTGCCTGAGGAGGCCTTGAGGCCATCCGGCTGTAATACAACTGGTGCAGCACCCCACCTCTGGATCACAAAGTCCCGTTCTGTGGGTGCTGCTCATACGGAGACCCCCCCCCCATATAGACACACTTGCACCCTTACCTTATTCTTGACTTCAGCAGACATGCCATAGGCTGGGCCCCTGTTGAAGTGTGTCGCAGACATATTGTGCACGTGTTGTGTGGCTGCCGGACGTGGCTCAGTGCTTCCCTTGCTCCACAGCGGATCTGCTTCTCCACAGCTTTCCCTGCAACTTTTAAAAACTCCTTGCTCTCTAGCTCTCCCCCGCCTCCGATCTGAGGGGGAGCCCTTCCATTGGCCAGACGGCGTGGCCAATCGCCACCTGCCAGGGATGCTGATGTCAGCCTGCTGGTATTAAGAAAAGATGGTGTCATTTTTTCCACCTTGGGGGGCTTTGGGGGGGGGGGGGGGATTCAGTTCTGCTGCTGACTCGATTCCCTAATGGACATTCTGAATACTTACAGAACCAGACCATGTGAGAAGCGGGGAAGCAGTGGATCTGAGTGGCAGAGCACCCCCAGCCCACTGCTCTCCCACCCCACTTGTCGACTAGCCCTCTTGCCTCTCCTGCTTCACAATTTTCTGCCCTACTCTTTCAATGCTATATTTCCATGTGGCTCTCTCCTGTCCCCTCCCTCTCTCCTCCTAGCATCTTTTCCAAGACAAGCCTCTGCACAATCACTTTCATTTCATGCGTCAACCCCCCCCCTCCCCAAAACAGTCCCGCCATTCAAAGCTGTCTGGCCAGGCTTCCTTGACCCTTTCTGCACCAGTTCCCTTCGCCTGTCATCTTCTTTGGCTTTTTTGGTCTCATACGTTGCTTTGGCAGCCAGCAATGCTCCTTTTCTTTTCTTGCAAAGAATGTTTGCAAACCATCCACATAAAACAGAAAAATTTGACTTAGTTCTCCCTTGCAGTAGCAGCTGCAACTGCAGCAGCACAGATCTGACACTATAGACATACAGAATCTAAAATTTATAGAAAAGAAAACCTTACAGAATTCTGCTGCAGAGAATTCAAACATGGGAAGGGAACAGAACACTATACCTGACTAAACAACTCACCATATTTTTGTCACAGACTACAATGGTACAGATAATCTGTTGTACTTCAAGGATGGCCAGGTTTGAGATAGGAAAGAGGATTAAGCTGAGCACTGCTGGGGGAGCATAATAATATAATTTTCTACTACCACCACCACCCATCCAGCAACAGTCATTTTTAAAGAATGAACAGATTTTTCAGAATATTACAGTTGCCATATATTCAATTTAACACCTCTTGCTACCACTTTCCAGTCTCTTGAAATGGATGGAAGAGTCAGTTCTTCTTTCATACACTGTGCTTAATTCAGTCCAGCCCTATCGACTTCCTTCTGATCAATGGCAAGGCATTTTGTCTGGGCCTGCATTTGGGGCAAAACATTTCTGCTGGGCACCAGGGCTGTGAAGCTTGGTATAAACAGAGTGGGGCAGCTGTTACTTTCCAGCTGTGCTGTGCCTTTTGAAACACACTGACCAGAACAGTGAGAAGTCATGAAGGGCACTCCCCACACCCTTCCCATCTCACAGGCATTTACAGTGGTACCTTGGCTCACGAACTTAATCCATTTCAGGACTCTGGTCATGACCCAAATTGGTTGTGAGCCAAGTCAAATTTCCCCATAAGGTTCAATGTAAATAAGGTTGATCCGTTCTGTAACCATTTTGTAAATCACAAAAATTTGAAACAAAGTGACAAAGAACAAAAAAGTGACAAAGGACAACAAAGATCGTGGCCATTCCCCCCCCCCCCCACAATGAAAAACCCCCCCCCCCCCCCCCCCCCCCCAGCACGACCGTGATCGCTCAGGGAAGACCGGCGTGATCACAATCATCACCCAATGCGGCGTTCATGACCTGAGGCAATTTTTTCTGAAATTTCAGTTTGCAACCCAATTTGGTCATGAACTGAGGCATTCGTGAGCTGAGGTACCACTGTACAGAGGCCACTCTGGATACAAGGTTAAACATCTGTCACACAGCAAGCTGGATTGGGCAATCAGTTATCCAAACTCTTTTGAAAAGAATCCATCTGACATTATAGTTCCCATTATAAGTTTCTAATTTCCTCATATGATTTGTACTGTTCACAGGGCTGGGGGTCCAACCTGCCAGGAAATCCATTTCAAGCTCACCTGAACTGAAACTAATTTTTGATCCCATCCTATCCCATCTTCACTCCTATTCTTGGGAATTATGATGGCAAGAGACTGTTGAGTTTCTTTACCGAAACACAGCAGGTAAGGCTGCCCCAAGAGCAGCATCCCATGATTCCAGAATGGCTTTTTTATCCTTCAACTGACATCACTTTGAGGTTCATTGTCCAGGTGGACCCTTTTCTTGGAATACCCAAGTCCAGCATGAGCTGAAGAAGACCCTTTCCTGAGGGGGAAGAGGGTGGTTGCTGTGTGGAAGGGATGCTGAAGAGGCAGAACTGCTATCATTTAGGCCATCCCTGGGGTCACTTATGGTAGTGCTCAATGGGCTGAAAAGGTGAAAGGGAATCATTTATCAGGCTCTCCTCTCACCAAGAAAAGAAGAGAGGAGCAAATCTGAAAATGAAAGGTCTGTCCTCTCTCTTCAGTGTAGAAACCTGGGTTACCTAGTGATGTTTTGAGGCAGTAGATTGGATATAGTCAAAAGCAACTGTTTCACTTCTTGCATAAGTAACATACAATTTGGTGTCACAGTGTGGAATGATTGACCCCTGGCTTTTAAAGGACATGAGATAAATTCAGAGGATAGGTCTGCTCATGACCATTAGTCTTGATAACATCATGGAGCCTTCAAAGACTGTGTGATGCTTCCATCCCAGTTGCTGGGTGGCAAATGATGAGAGAGAGGCTCTCCATGCTCTATTTGTGGGCCTCCCCAAAACATGTGGATGGCTGCTTTTGGAGTGCTCCCAGGTGAGGTTTTCATTGCACAAACAACCTGCCTCATTCACGGAATTTACTGGGAGTCTGGATGATATTGCCTTCAATGTGTAGCCCTCCCATGTTTTCCTACCACACCTTCCATCTTTTCTCTTAGCAGAAAAAAAAACCCTGTTAATGAGGAAAAGACAGAATAGCTGACCAACTGCATGTCATTTTAGTGCGGGAAGCAGCCTATCTGGAGAAGCATGCTGTACCCAGCTTCAGATAAATGTGGCAAAATCCAGTCATCTCAATGCACTGTGACCTTAGCTGGAGTCTTCTCTCCTGATCCCTTTTTCCAGCAACTGATGCTGATGTCCCTGAATTACAGATTGGAAAAAGCCACTTAATAAGTATTTCCAGTACTCTGTACCCTTGTGACACACCACAGAGAGATTTGGCCCTTTCTCTCACAGGGTTTTGTCACCATGCAGAGTCACCTTGAATCAGAGATGCCAGGCAAACCTCACCACTGCCTATTGTTATAGCTGCATCTGCTATGATCCACCACTGCTTCCCACTGATGTAATTTTCTTTTCTTCACCCCCTTTAAAGTGGTTTAAAATGGATTTTTGTGTCACGTTGCATTTATCACTGTGCTTTTAATATCATGCACACCAGTGGTGGTGATGTTTAGGGCAGAGGTTTAGTGCAGGAAGATAATGCTATGAAGGATCAGATCTGTTCCTCAGGGATGTTTGGTAAACCCACTGTGATCTTCTCCCATTCCCAAGTTCTTCATTTACAGCCACAAAAGAGCAAGAGCTAATAGATCAGCCTTTCTGCATTAATTACCTCCTCCTTGGCTGGGGAAAAGAAAGAGGGAAAAGTGCTTTCCTACTATGAGCAATCTACTTCCTTCCAACCTTCCTCCGACTTACACTGCCTAACATCTTATTCTGCTGGCTGAAAATTCATTTTCCATTTCTCATTCCAGGGACATGGGGCATGTTTTTATATTTGTTTATTTTGCAAGCAACTTTGAGCAACTTCTTTTTGGGAGGGAAAGGTAGGGTATAATTTCCATAATAATAAAAATATTAACTAATACATAATGGATTTCCATTAATTAATCAATAGATTTTTGAAATGCATGGAAATGTTACTCTGGAGATCACTGATGAATTTCAGTGAATCAGCTGATGTAGTCCAGTAGGTTAAGTGTGAGGTCACATTTGGAGTATTTCTTGATCTCACTGGAATTGTGCTTTTCCAGAAGTCTCATTCAGTTCAGCGGCTCTTACATAGCTGTAATTGCCAATGGACTGCATTCAAAAGATTTGGAAAGATGAATGACAGTGACAACTGGCTTTGAAGCTGGCATGCCAAAATGTGACCCCTAGTGCCAAAATGGATTCAGGAAATCTGATGTCTGGATTTGGACAGTACTGCTTTAGGAAGTGCAGGTCGCAATTTTCCCAAAGTCACTCTCCTGTCTTAAATAGCTATTAACCCAGATGTTTATGGTGGGAGAAGGGGGAAGAAACTTTCCTGACTGTATCATGCCTTTATTTTAACCCGTATACCCATTAGCCACTGTGGTGTGGTGGTTAAGAGTACGGGACTGAGGGGATCTGGGTTATAATCCCCACTCAGCCATGGAGCCAACTGGGTGATTCTGGACCAGTCACAGACTCTCAGCCCAACCTGTTGTTGTGAGGATAAGATGGAGAGCAGCAGGAGGAGAACAATGTAAGCTGCTTTGCATTTGTTGTTAGAAAAAAAGTGGGATATAAATCTAATAAATAAGTGCTAATACAGAAATGTAATAGTAGTAGTGGTGGTGGTAGTGATAGTAGTAGTGTCTGTTTCAGGGAGGGGAGTTGATTGGGAAAACAGTACAAGGGGGATGATTAAACATCCCCTTTCCTAGTGTCAGTGTTTCAGTCCAGTTGTGTGGGGTGTGTGTCCCAGCAAGCTCTTTTGTCCAATCCCCTTTTATGGAGAAGACTCCCTTGGTCTGCAAGACGATCAAACCAGTCAGTCCTAGAGGAGATCAACCCTGACTGCTCCTTAGAAGGCCAGATCCTGAAGATGAAACTCAAATACTTTGGCCACCTAATGAGAAGGAAGGACACCCTGGAGAAGAGCCTAATGCTGGGAACAATAGATGGCAAAAGAAGAAGGGGACGGCAGAGAATGAGGTGGCTAGATGGAGTCACTGAAGCAGTCAGTGTGAGCTTAAGTGGTCTCCGGGGGATGGTGGAGGACAGGAAGGCCTGGAGGAAAGTTGTCCTTGGGGCTGCAATGGGTCAGACATGACTTCGTGACTAGCAACAACAACA